GGTTTGGGTTGCAAGAACATTCATGATATGGCTCAAGCCTTTTCTCATAAAATCTGGTTTTCATTTAGAACTAATGGGAGTCTTTGGGCGCGTTATATGAATACTAAATACTATAAAGATTCTCATCCTCTTCTTAATTGGTTTAAACCTAAAGACTCACCTTCTTGGAAAGACTTTGGAAAATTAAATGGAATGTTGAGCATTTTATTCAGTGGGGTAATGGTAAAGGTAATGTTTTCTTTTGGCAGGACAACTGGATGGGTCCTTCTTCCATTGATAACTATTTAAACATGGTCTCTCTGGATAATTTAAAGGTTTCTGAATTTTTTCTTAATGGTTCTTGGAATATTAGTAAACTTTTGGATATTTTACCTTCCTCTATTGTTGAATTAATTCGGTTGATACCTTTAGATTTGTCTAATAAGGATAAAATTTTATTTTCTTTGTCGTCTTTGGGTAAATTTCATATGACAAATGCTTGGGAAGATTTCAGAATCAAGCATAACCCTTCTCTCCTTTTTACAGCTCTTTGGCATAACAGTTTTCCTCTGTCTTATTCTATTTTAGCTTGGAGATGTCTTAAAGGATTTATTCCTGTTGATACTATTATTCAGAAAAAAGGCTTTAATTTCCCCTCTAAATGTCAATGTTGTGCGAATATTGAAAGTGTCAATCACCTTTTTGTTAATGGTAACATTGCTATGAAGGTTTGGCAACATTATGTTGATATGGCTAATTTGACTCAAGTGGTTTTTCCTACTGATCTTACTTCTTTATAGAACCATTGGATGCAAAGATCTAAAGGGCACATTTTAAATCTAATTCCTATTCTTATTTAATTTTATGGTTCATTTGGAAATCGAGAAATGAGTCCAAGCATGGTGATATTAAGATGGAGGCTTCCATTATCATTTCGAATATTAATCATAAAATTATGAATCTCTCATCTTGCAATTTGATTTCGTATAAGAATTGTAAAAATGCTTTTAAGCTTGCTGACCTTCTTGGCATTAAAAGGAATTTGAATGCTACTAATAGAATTTCTAGAATGGTTATTTGGAGGAAACCGGCTATGCCTTATGTTAAACTTAATACTGATGGTTCGGTGAGGATGGGATTAGCTGGTACTGGTGGCATTATTAGGAATCACGAGGGTAAGGTGTTATCTGCCTTAGCTTCCCCCTTGCATTTGTGTTCTATTTTGACTACTGAACTTACTGCTCTTGCTTTGGGTATTGAAAAATGTATTTCCTTGGGGTTTTTGAATGTTTGGATTGAGGTGGATTCTGATACGGTGGTTCAAATTGTTAATGATAAGATCCAGGGTAATTCCAATAATTTTACCTGATTAGAAGGATCAAATTGGCTCTTTCTAATATCAAATATAATATTTCTCATATTTTCGTGAAGCTAATAGTTGTGCTGATTAGTTGGCTAATTTTGGTTGTCAGCTGAGGAGATTTCAAGATCTTAATGTCTTGACATTAAATCCTGTTTTGAAAGGTATGATTTTTCTGGATAAAACTTCTCTCCCTTATATTAGACATGGTTAAAACCTGTTGTTGTTATTGGAGAGTGCTTCTTATTTTGGTTATTACTGTTTCTGTTTGCCTGTGGGGTGGTGTTGCTTATATTTGAGACCCGCAATAGGTGGGGTATTTATCTTAGTAGGCTGTTTATCTGGGTGGTGATCGTTTTAGATTTAGCTGGGACTTGTTTGAGTTTTTTGGAAATTTGGTGCAGTGGTTACAGCTGGTGCTACTTCTATTTTTCTCATGCTAGGAATATGATGTTAAACGACTTGATTATGATTTTTTATTCGGGTTCTAAATACTGGAATGACTGTAATGGCAAGAAGAGTTTTGCGGGGCATTATTGTTTGGGTTCTGTTGTTTTTCCAGTTTCTGGTTATTCTGGATATCCTTTATCCCTGCAGTTCAATCATCTCTGGAAGGGTTGGTTTAACAGGTTTTATTTTGGTTTTTTAAACTTAATTAATGATATTTCCTATATTTATGGTTATCTTTTTGGGAGATTTACATGCAGGAATTTCTACATATTTCGTGGTGCAATCTTCACTGCTTGTAAGGTAATTTTCTTTTGGTCCTTAGAATTTTTTGGCCTTTGTTCTTGTTTTTTTTGCAGGAAGACTGAGCTGAATGCCATCATTATGAGCTTCCTTTTTTGGGTTCGGTTGACTCACAGACCTTCTTTATTTTTAATCTCCTTTTGTAATCGTAGAGAAAGGAACCACTGGCTCATAGGTTTTGAATTTTCTTTTTTGACTGTAGCTCTTTCGAGCAGTAGTGAGCTGGAGGTTCCTTTTAAGGACCTTGTAACTGTATTTTTGAATTTTAACGCATAGGCCCCATGAGTGGGTTTTAACAAAAAAAAAAAAAAACACTAATCATCCTTCATGTCATTGCTATTATGTGATGCAGGTGTAGGCTCTTTCACTTTTTTCTTCTCATTTTCAGTTTGATATGATCGCAGCTCCGCCTACATATCATTTTGAATATTTCTCATCTTATCTATCTCTCTTATCAGGGCAGCTACCCTTTGGCTAACAATTTCTTCAGCTCCATTAACATCATAAAATGTTTAAGTAGATGTACTACCTTCATAAGCATACCCCTACGAACCTAAGCCATAAACCCTCCCACTCTACCTTCCTCCAACAACATCTAACCATGTACGATACTTAGAATACTTGGTCGATTCTGAAGATGATCCCTCACCAGCAGTCTGCTGACTTTTTTGAAGTCATATAAAATTATCTTATGGAAATAAATCCCTAAAATAAAAATTTTAATTGAAATAGTTAAAATAATCTTTTAAAAATTATACTTACATAAGCTTTTCTTACATTCTCATCAACCCACTAATGATTATCTTGATATTGGCGAGTTATCATATGTAGCTCTAGTGGGATCGGTTTCCACCCAATACGCTCCTTAGTGGCATCAAATTCTTGAGATATGAATAAATAGGATATGATCGATAGGGCACAAAGCCCTTTGTTAGCTAAGGTGGATTTAAATTTATCCCCTTAGACAAACATTCATCCCAGGTCTACTAAGTCCTCTTGGACAAAGTAACCCATGGCTGCCAACAAGGATCATTCTGTCAGTTTGGATCGACTACCTCCTCTGACTAAGTATAGACCAGGGATCACGATGGTCCGGGATGACAGAACCATGGGATCTTGATCGGGTCCATCATCCATTCCTCTACCATCCGCTTTAAGTATAAGATGGTGAAATTTCTATTTTTAAATATTTCAACCCAAATTTCCAAACATCTAGACTTTTTAAATATCCATGTTCATTGCTGCTACTATATGCCAGATAACACGTACGTTCTACGTATCTAATTGACGACTATCCTTAATCGAAAGTTCTCTCTCGTGATCGGGAGGGGTAATTAACTATAGGGGCTTGCACCTATAGGAAACAAGAACTCAGATCATAAAGTCCTCATAAAATGAGGGTGAAATCTCTGGGTAGTGTCTTATCTACAAACTCATCTGCCTTCCTAAAATTTACCCTTGAACTAATTCCGTTAAAATTCCCTTGCCAAAAGAAAACGCATAACAGTGCGAGTGGAGGCCGAGGTTGAATTTTTGGATCCCACATAGGTTTAGTTACAGCTACTTCAATTTGTCTTTAAATGTTCTCCTTTTTTGTTCTAGTGTGGATGTTATACTTTCATTCTCCAGATCCTGTTTAATGTTCAGTTAATTTGCTTTGTTGTGGGTTTATCTTTTTTTTGTTGAGTCTTTTCTTATTAGGGTGATGTTCTGATTTCCATCTTTAATTCACTACAGGAAAATCACTCATTTCCGGCGGCCTTTTCCGGCGGAAATTGAACCTTTTCCGGCAGTTTTGTAGTTTATCGGCGGTGTTCCGACGGTTAAGTTACCGCCGAAAAAAACGGCGTAGGAAAATAATTTCTGGCGGTTTTTACCGGCGGTTATAAACCGCCGGTCAAATTTATTAAAAAAAAAAACAATTTCCCGAGGCGCCGCACCACCGCCCCCCCGCCGCTCCCGCGCGATCCGACT